GGATACGTTTTCGCAAATTGTAATTGTGCCGTTTCATTTATTACATATATATTTTATGGTTATTTGCAATTATTACCTATAAGCTTGTTTCGTTCTTCTGTCCTAAAATCAAGGGTGCAGCTGCCCTTTGCCCCGCAAATACCACCTTGCTCGCAGCCTAACAGGAAGTACGTATCATCTCATCTGTATATTGTTACCGTGGATACTGCGTTGTTCCGGTAATGGCGACACTATGTGAGCGTCGCGTGAGTGTGTGTTGTCGTTTCTGTTAGCAGAAAGTTTGCAAATTATTGAGGTGATACATTGTCGTCAATGTAGTGTTGCGATTGCAAAATGGCAGGTGCCGTTAGTTTAGATCAGATGGTCGACTTGGCCATAGGTCCACCTGAAACCGGAGCTGTAAATTTCAATATTTTGAAAGCTGTTCTTCTTGCACTTATCAGAAAATCCGACCTCGATATAACTGTGCCTTCGGCAGATATATATAAGATAAGTAAATTGCCTCAATCACATCATTACGAAAATGTTAATCGCGACCCTTCACAAATTAATCAAAGCCGTGGTCCAGAAGGTAGTACAGATCCACAGTTGTCTGCGAGTTTAGATGTCATTGGTGGTGTCGCTGATAGTGATACGACTATTACGAGTAGGCCTAGTGATGTTGGTTTTGTCGGTGGTAGCAAATCCAGCGTAAATGTTCCTGTTGCGCGATCGAAATCCGCAGAAGAAAATATTAAGAAACATCCATCTGATCAAGTTTTAGAAACGTTAGAGAAGAAAGTCTCTCATATAGAGAATCAGCTGAATGATATTAATAATGGGGTAGATGCTAGCAATGCACAACTATTTGAACGAGTTAAAAGTCACAGACGAATGAGCAGCGTGTTGGGTAATCCCGAAGAGGAAACTGAGCTAAGGCGACCAGTTTCAGAAATGTGGCAATTGATGCAATTAACCAAACGAGTGGCAGCAAATGATGAAGGTATAGGAAAGGTAATGAATAATAATAATATTTATTATTACTTTGCAGTTTGGCTCAATTGGGTGTACTAGCTGAAACCAACTTCACATGGTTTCATCATTAAATTTAAGAATTCCTTAGGGCTGTGTGTATATGTTGTAGTGTATCTCAAATGCAACTCCCCTGCGTTATTATCCACGTAACCGTGGGCTACGCAGTAAACTATCCAGATCCAGATCTTAACAATTAATTAATGCAATTTGATATTGATAACAATTTATTGGTTTTATTTAGCTTATGTCATTGTCAGAAGACATGATGGCAAGATTGGGTGAACTGCAGGACAATGGAGAGAGTCTCAAAACCCAACTTACGCAACATGTATGTATAGTAAAATTATTATAGCTACGTTGTTACGTAACATTTTACATTACAACAATTTGATTTGAAAAAAATTTATTTAGATATCAGAGTGTTTTGGAATAGCATGTATTTTATCAAACACTGTTCTAATTATAAGTTTTATAGGCTGAAAATATTTCTGATGTGAAGACAGATGTGCACACCATTGTTGAATCTGCGGTATTTATCATTATATTTCTAAATTCATATCACTTAATACTACAAATTATTATTATACATATTGGGATTTGTCATGACTTATTTCTAAAAATATATTATGCACAAATGGCATGTCTAGCATTTTATGAAGCAATAATTTTTTATATAAAGACTGCAAAGTTTTTCAAACATCTTATGCATTCATAGGTATGATACAGAGAGATCATAGTAATTTGTATATGCATGTATAGGTGGAGGAGAAGATGGGTGATTTTGTCAGCAAGTTGGACCTTCAAAGCGTGTTGGTTGAAGCCAGAGATATAACCCAGGAGACAGCAGAAAAGCCCATACAGATGGTAGATTTCAGATTAAATTAAATGATTTAAAAAATTAATAAGAAAATTGTGTTAAAAAATAAATATGTTCCAATTAATAGTTTGTCGAGCATTACTTGTTTAACCTTTCTAATTAGTAATCGAAATTTCTCAAATTTGGATTTTCAGAATTTTCGATTTTTTTGAATTTCTCTTTGAATGAATAATTTAAAATTATTTGCATCACGGCGGATTTATTAAATGTTATCATCAGATTTGCATAAATATTTTTCCAGCGATAATTTTATTATGGTAATGGTTAGATCAATTTGTATAGACGCTAATCGGTCTTAGAGACAGACTCCCAATACTTGCAAAATTTATAATGCATATTTTTTGGACTATAAATATTATACGTTATAAAATATTGTTCTATTACAGTATCCGAAGCCTCACCATCCTGATGTGGAGGGCGGCTGCCTACCAGGGGAAACTGAACTTAAAATTGAGGAGCTCTCTACCATGCAAAATGATTTATTAATAAAAGTCAATGGCATCACAGAGCGACTCGAAAACCAGACTTCTCATTCTGAATGTATACAAGTATTTTACCTATTATTATGCAAAATGCAATATCTGCTGTTTAAAGCAGGAGTGCTTTGAATGCGAATGAAAACTTTGTCTGTAAGGAATATTGTGTACAAATGTGTAAGTAGTTTTTAACGTGAAATTTTATTATGCCACAATCAAAATAATGTAATCTCGCATTTATGTGAATGTGTTCGTGTGCGTGTATGTATGATATTGTCATGTGCTTTTCAGCTGTGGACCTTAACAATCTTCTAGAGCAGATGGGAGCGATCCATCAAGAGATCAATGATCTTCACGCACTAAAAGATCAGGTACATGTCACTCTACTACTAATCAACCAAAATCTAAAACAGCTGCCCTAAAAATGCTCTATTAAAGATTAATCTTGCTCTATAACTTTTCTTATCTACATGATCGTTTCAGTTCGCAGAACTTCAGGATTTGATAACACAATATCAGCATGACACGATGTCCATGAGAAACGAGCTGGAGACCATTGCCAACCTTCACACACAACCGGATGAAGGTTTGCCCGTGAATAGTGACCAACAGGTGGCAGAAGCAATGAGCATTTCACTCATGGAGCAGGAAACTGCTGCTATGAAAGCCATGGGTGAGTGACAAGCGTAAGTTACAATTGAATGATAGGGGGAAAAAATCAGTGAGTCTCACCATCTGAGCGAAGCGAGGATGCTGCGGGTGCGAAACGCCCTAGGGGGGAGGGCCTTACCTTAAAATGGAGGAAATTTAGTCTGAAATGCCAAAAAAACAGGAATCTGATATGATTTTATATTCTTATAAGCTCTGTTGTCAGTTATACAAGGTGTAATAGTATTATATATAAAATTGGGCCGCCCTCATGTCGTCTATCAAATTTCATCCGTCTCATACAAGAATAGGCTGTCCAAAAGACGGGTCTCTGGCTAACACACTGTGGTGAAGTGCACTCTTATCAGATGCTGGCAGATGAATGTGCAGGCCGCGACATTGCTGCTCACTCGTATTCTTTGTTATTTCTCGTCCCACAGGAGAGACGCTCAACGGGCAGTTTACTGAGTACAAGATTAGACTCGAGAGTGTCGAGACCAAATTAAAGTTGACTCTTGAGGTGCTTGAAGAGAAATCTGCCGCTGCGATTCAGTATGGATCAGAAGTGGTAAGAATGCTCATCCTTCCCTCAGAATGATGTTGAGCCTTGGTGCAAAATAAATAAAGATATACCCTTAAACTTTTACCCTAAATGCTGAGATCTATGTTAAGCGAATATAAAATTGAAAGCTACATTGCAGTGTTCACATGGCGGTTGGAAACCATGGTATTCTAGGAACGACTGACTTGGATACTGCCCAGTCAATTTGCTTTCCTTTGCTTAATATCGACGGACGCGCACTCACCATCGACGGACACAGATACATCACAGATCAAATGGCAAGCATGAAGGGATCAAGATAATTGTATTGTCTTGTGGGATTTTTTTCAGGTCCCCCACAATCTGGACCACCACGTTGCCGTCGTGTGGGGGCTTGCGTACTCCTGTGGCTCAAAGGGCAAGGTCTAAAGCAATGGTCTAACCATGCTGAACCAGCCAAGGAAGAGGAGTCGGACTAAGAGTGATCCAGACCCTGCTCCTACTTATTATTACTTTATGATTTCTTGATGCTTGTTGTCAAGATTTTATTGTATCATTGTGGTCAGTGAGGAGAATTTATAGGCTGTGTATGCCACAGGTTTTTTGTCATGGTGGTCAAAGAGAATGATTTTCTACATTCTATTTCGCGGTCGTGTATTTTTACATATTGTTATCATTCAAGACGTTTCATCGTTTCATTGTAGACCAAGATCGTATTAATGTAAGGCTAAACCTAATCTACATTTCCACACCCTTTAAAAGTGAATCGCACGTATTCTTTCTTGCACATGCACACAGGTGCAGCAGACGAATTTTGCCGGTACCAGCTATGTTATAATATTGTTGCTATCGGCTCCAATTTTGTACATTGTATTTCGCGGTCGTGTGTATTTTTCCATGTTATATTGATCCATTGGGAGCCTCATGCTTCAAATATTGTTGGGATCATTGATATTGTTAGGTTTTGTGGATTGTTTACAAGTTGTCTGCGCAGACGTAAATATGTTGTGCTCGCAGGGGATAGGGCAGTAGTAGTAATATTAGCAGCAGCAGCAGGAGGAGGCATTCGTGTTCATGTTCGTGTGTGTACGCACGCGTGAGGTTGGAGAAGGGTTTGTGTGTTAGGTTTAGATTGGAATTTATATGAGAGGGATGCTGAGGTGAAGAATAGTGATCATCTTGGGGAGGGGAAGATCAACGTAAACGAGTTTCCAGGAGTTTCTTATTTAGCAATGAATTGGTAGTCGAGCCAGCGTATTTATATGTCTGTAGTGGAGACTTATTCTGAACATTGCGAGTCATTTAACAGTGTTGTTTGTTAGTGTGGACTAAAGGTGACGTGTGTGTGTGTGTGTGTGTGTGTGTGTGTGTGTGTGTGTGTGTGTGTGTGTGTGTGTTGTGCTGTGTTTGTGTGTGTGGGTGTGTGTGGGTGTGTGTTGTGTGTGTGTGTGTATGTGTTTGTTGATCATATGGCAGAGAAGGCATGTTTTTAACATGTAATTTTATGTGATAAAACAAGCTGCGATATTCTTAATTTTCTAATTCTCGAGAGTGTAATTACATGTTTAAATCCCTATTTGCGGTCTTGTAGCGACGATTATGTTTGTCCATGCTGTAGAAGATTTACTAATTATATAGAATTATGTCGGTTACATATAAGCATCGACTTTGAACAAATAGGTTTTTTTTTTTTATTGCCTAATGCACCCAGATAGGGTATGTTGAGCGTGTGTGTATGATTGTTGTTGTTTGTGATGTGTGTGTGTGTGTGTGTGTGTGTGTGTGCTGTGTGTGTGTGTGTGTGGAGAGTGTGGTGGTGTGTGTGTGTTGTGTGTGTGTGTGTGTATGTGTGTGTGTGTGTGTGTGTGTGTTGTGTGTGTGTGTGTGTGTGTGTGTGTCGTGTGTGTGTGTGTGTGTGTGTGTGTGGTGTGTAGCAAGCTACTTCTGTGCTTTGGCGGTATAACGCACGCCGAGGGGATGTAGCCTATAGTAGACAGCCCGTAACCGAAATTTTCTCTCTCTTTCTCACTCTCCCTCTGCTTCTCTCGCCTGCTGCTCTTCTCTCTCCTCTCATTTCTCTCTTCTTCTCCTCTCTCTTCGCTGTCACCTCTTTCTCTGATATATATATAACTAGACGGCACGTCGATAGCACACAGAACCTCCGCCAAGGCGCTTGAATATCTCTCATGTGAAAATTTTATTTTATTAATTAATGCGAGCGTGGGCGAGCGTAGCCAGGTGGGGGGAGCTGTGGTTGCCCCCTTAGCTTCGGTTGCGTGTGTTGTAAGTCTAACAGCCAGCAGCAACCTAGGCTAGCGAAGTGGAACTGAACGTGCATGTTCACAAAGCGCCACAAACCAACCTCAATACACTATCCGCGCGCCGGTGAAAACATAACCTCGACGCCTAAGCACTCTGACGTAATAGGTAAGATATATAACCCCTAGCTGTAACTCGAATTGTATCGCAGTTTGTGATTACAACAGGGTGAGCAATCGCCTTGACAGCGCATTGACTGCTCCTCCTGCTCCCGTCATCTGCGTCTCTCTCTCGTCTCTCTCCTCTCGTCTCCTCTCTCTCATCATTCTCTCTCTCTCGCCATGCACTCTCTCCTCATCTCTCTCTCTCTCTCTCTCTTCTCTCTGCTCTCTCGCTCTCTCTCTCTCTCCTCTCTCTCATCTTTCTTCTCTCCGCTCTCTCTCTCTCGCTCTCTCTCTCTCTCCTTCTCCTCTGCTTCTCGTCCTCTGCCCTCATATCTCCCTCTATCTCTGCTGCTCTCTCTGCTTCTCCTTTCTCTCTGTTTCCTCTCTCGCTCCTTTCTCTTCTCGTCTTTCTGCTCCGTGCTCTCTCTCTCTCTCCTGTTCTGCTCGCGACCTTTCCTCTGCTTTCCTCTCTCGTCATCTCTCCTCCCTCTCTCTCTGTCTCTCCTTCCCTCTTCTCTCTCTCTCCTCTCCCCTCTCTCCTCTTCCTCTCTCTCTTCGTCTCTTTCTCTCTTCTCTCTCTCTCGATCCCTTTCTTTCTCTTCTTCCTCCCCCTCCCCCTCCTCTCTCTCTCTCTCTCTCTCTCCTCTCTCTCTCTCTCTTCCTTCTCTCCTCTTGCTCTCTCTCTCTCTCTCTCTCTCTCTCTCTCTCTCTTCCTCTCTCTCTCTCTCCTCTCTTCTCTCTCTCTCTCCTCTTCTCCTCTCTCCGCCCACGCTCTCTCTCTCTGTTGCTCTCCCGTTTCATTTTCCCTCTCTCTATCCCTTCTCTCCTCCTCGCTTATCATCGTCCTCTCTCTCCTCTCTCCTCTCTCCTCTCCTCCTCTCTCTCCTCTCTATTTTATGTA